AGGGATCTGTTAGGTGAAGAAACGATTGCAATGTTTTTTGTTTTTTTGTAGTGATTTTTTTTATGTCGTTTGAATCGTTTCAGCTAGGAAAATTGATATTTTCCAACGACTTTTTTACTCTCTAGGATAGCCTTGCCGATGGATGGACAAAACTTAGGTTGTCGCTGATCTTTTTGAAATAATAAACATTAAACTACATGATTCAAATTGAAACATCACTAAATCTCTAGGGACTAAAATAAACATTAAACTATAGACTATATTTCTAGATCTTGCTGCTGGATAATCAACTAACGACCCTCTCTCCGTCTGTCTGATTGCCCTAACCCCCCGTCTTCTTTCTCGTTTCTCGAGCTCGCAACCCCAGCAGAAAGAAAGAGATTCAAAATTTTTCTGATTCCCCTACCCCCCCCCCCCTCCCCTCCTTCTTTCTCGTTTCTTGAGCTCGCAACCCCAGCAGAAAGAGAGAGATTCAAAATTTTTCCCCCAAAAGCCCTCGTCTTTCCATCTGTATGCCAAACTTACCCTCTTCTCACCTCCTCCTCTTCCTCCTCTCCTGAGTTAAGCAAACGGGAATTCAAAAAAGCATGATCGTTAGAACGTACGGTCGGCGAAACAGAGACGGAGGAAGCCTAACGAGAACCTATTCAGATTCATTAGACGACGACGACGTAGCTGACCATAATTACTCCTTCAGCGACTCCTTTTCTCTCTCTCAAGAAACTACCCAATCTAATCAAGATTTCTTCAGCCATAACTTCCCTCTCTCTTCTCAAGAATCCACCTCTTATTCTCTCGATCTCGATCCCTACAATTTCGACGACAATCCCATCTCAAACGGCGTCGTCCCAAGAAAATCGAAGAAGCCGAGGCGTAGTAAGTCAAAATCTGAGAGAAACGGTATTGGGAATTCTAATCTTTTGACTAGCTCGACGACGTTAATGGAGGCTCAAGAATTTGGGGAAATGATGGAGCATGTTGATGAGGTTAATTTTGCGCTTGATGGGTTAAAGAAGGGACAGCCTTTGAGAATTAAGAGAGCTAGTTTGTTGTCTTTGTTAGGGATTTGTGGGACTCAACAACAGAGACGGCTTTTGAGGGCTCAAGGGTATGTGGGTTTTGTTTTTTTTTTTGTTTTGTGATGTTTAAGGATTGAATTTGGAATTATTTCGTGTTTTTGAATTTTTTAAATGGTCTTGGGGATTCTGTGAGTTCTTGAATTTAGAAAAACAGGCGGATTTGAATTTAGAAAGATTCAATTGATGGTTATTGCTTTAGAAATTGTCGGGACCTTTTGAGTTCTTGAAAGGCTGGGTTTGAATTTAGAAAGACTGAATTGAGGGTTATTGCGTTAGAAATTGTTGGGATTGTTTTGGAAGGTATTTGATGGGGAGAGGTTATTGACATTTCAAAGAGTTGTTTTCGGTTGATGGGTTCTCGAGTCTTCGTTTGGAATTTTTCTAGTGTAGTTTAAAGGGTATCGTGAGTTCTTGATTTATTTTTTTGTTTCTTTTACATGGGTTTTTTTGTAGAATTTCTTGTTGCGTTTTGAAATTCCTGATCTTCTTATGGCTTCTTGGAGAGTGCTCTGTTTGATTTTGAGTGTTGTTGTTGGACTGTTTGAAGTTCTTGAAATTAAAGAGATGGGTTGTTTCGTGGGTGATCTTGCTTTGGTTTTGGAATTTGGTACTTTGTTTTACTATGCGTTTGGAATTTATGTCATTTGTTGGTTTTTTTAATGGTTTATGGGTTTTCTGTTTAAGCTTTGAAGTACCTAATCAAGGAATGAGCGGAATATTTTAAAATTAAATTTAATATGGGAGTTCAGTATGAATATCCAAAAGTAGGAAGATCTCTGAGAAGTGAAAGTTATGAATTCTACTTATTACTTCCCATACCATTTGGTGAATGAAATACAGCATGTTGGGTTCTCCTGTTAGATGTTTTGGTTTATGCACACAAAATCACTCCTTTGCTGGTCCGCTATCATGTATTTACTATTCTCATTTTACCGGCCTCAAGTTTCATGTATTATTTCTGGTTCATGTTAAAATTCTAAAGTTTTGTGGTTTCAGGATGGCCAAGACAATAATTGATGCTATTCTGGGCCTCAGCTTTGATGACTCAACAAGCAATCTGGCTGCTGCTGCACTCTTCTATGTTTTGACGAGTGATGTAAGTTCTTTTATGTTTTATACCTATTCTTTCTGTGCTCTCTTGTGCATGTACATGTTTTGTTGAAAACCTCAAAACGAACCTCTGAAATCTATACAAAGGCAATTGGGAATTCAGCATTACCTCCCTCTGAATTCTTAGATACAGTTGTGTTGTCTTTAGTTGTCTGGGCATGGATAAAAGGCAATGACTGACATCAGTTATTTTGAGAGACATAATAATAGCAAGTAGAATCTGTAACTTTACTCATAATTAAGTTCACATGGAGTTCTATGTTTGTACAAGCACAGCTCTTCAGTTTCAGTTTTCAAACATTCTAATGCTCTCAAATCACATGCTGCTGCTTGTAGTTGGTTATTTCTTGTTTGTTTATTTGATTCTCAAGGCTGGAACTCATTTTCTCCATGTATATTGTCACCCATCAGAATAGCTTTGACAGCTTTAATTTCACTGTTTCAGGGTCAAGATGAACACATTTTAGAGTCTCCAACTTGCATCCGTTTTCTTATTAAATTGTTAAAACCCATCATTTCTACTGCCACTGAAGATAAGACTCGAAATATAGGCAGTAAGCTTTTAGCATTACGCAAGGATTCTGACATCTTACGAGATACAAGTAAACTGGCAGATTCTAGCTCTACTGCCATTGCTGCCAAAGTTCAGGAAATTCTTGTTAATTGCAAGGACATGAAGTCACATTCCAGTGATGATAGTAGAACAGAGAGGCCAGAATTGACTCCCAAATGGATTGCATTGTTGACCATGGAGAAAGCTTGTTTATCTAAGATATCTTTTGAAGGTATGCTTGATATCTATCTTCCAATTCTGTTGAAATGAAGTGTTAGTTTTTCATTTCTGTTGCATACTTTCCATAGGCAGCCTGCCATTTATTAGTTTCCTTATGGTTTATTTTTGTCAAAGGATGAATAGTGGTTTTGTTGATCGGAACTATGAATAGATTCCTGGATACCATTTATTATAAAGTTGATATTGTTGATGCAAATGCTTTTACACTAGCTTTTCAGTACTTCTGCTTCTTTCTTCTGACTTATCTTCTTGAAATAGATCTAAAATGCACCATTATGTAATGAACAACATGTCTTAATAATTTCTTTGGCATTTTTATTTGCAAGTTTCAGTGGTGTCTATTTTTGTTTGAATACATGCTGGTGTAGTTTTGTTTTTAGATATTTATTAATTAATAGAGTTAAAAATGATCTAGGCACAAACGAGTTTTACATATTGCTGTTTCTTTGACTTAATTATTCTATATGGACATTTTCTATTGAAATTTATGATTTTTTTATTTTTATCATGGAACAAGAAGAATGCAGGCCATTGTTCATGCAACGTGCTATCAAGAATTGCATGGATTTGGGATGCTATTTTTCAAATTCTTAGTGATTGTTTTGCATGATCATAACTAGAGCAAGCTAGCATTCTGTCCATTTTTTCCATAACAAAAATACCCTTGAGTGTGTTTTGTATTGAAAAATTAATTGAGGGTACAAATGTAATCTCAGATAGGTGGAAACGCCCAATTCTCTGTCTGGAGTACATGTTTCTGTTTTAAATTAATGTTGCTGAGGCTTTTGTGTTTTTATGAGCTCGTTGGCTAATCTATCAAATCTTTATCCCTTTCGTTTGAAACCTAAATTCTATTAAAATTGTATGCAGCAGCTCTTTCATATCTGGATGATAGTGTCTTGGTAAAGAAAATGGTTTTGGAAGCCCATTATCAGTGTTTGATAATCACTCATCTTGTACATAAACAGATTCCATTTTATGGAAGAAACAAGCAAGTCTTTTTAAGCAGGATTCATTATATGGCAGCATTTTGTTTGATCATTGGATAATCTTTTTATCTCAATCTCTCTCTAGAATTCATGATATAAGAAACATAATGAAAACTAAAACAGTTCAGAATCTCTAGTGGGAAACAAGCACTTGTTATTAGGGAGAGATTTGCTCCTTTGTTCTAGATAAGGAAGTGATTGGTAGGTGAAATAATTTTTTTCTTTTGACTGCAGAAATTTCTAAACCAAGGATGGAGAAGGAATAAGAAACACCCCATGAAATTACAATTCTACCCATATTTTAATTTCAATAGAAAAGGCTCTCGTAATATTTTTATCATAGAAAATGGGCACAATGCTAACTTGCTCAAACACAGACAAGTTAGCAAAACCCATAATGATATGTATATTCAGTGCCATATGTGCAAGTCTTTCTCTAGGCAATAGAACCTTGCATGCACGATCATGCATTTTTGCACACACACTCTCTCTCTCCTTTTCTGATTGCTTATTTATTTCACTGTGTGGGTTGCGTTCATTCAGATACATCTGGCATGGTAAGGAAGACAGGGGGGGGCTTTAAGGAAAAGTTACGAGAGCATGGAGGACTTGATGCTGTCTTTGAGGTCACCATGAACTGTCACTCTGTTATAGAGGTGTGAGCTTGTATGTTTGTTTCATCTTTCAGCAATTCACAAAAAATCAAGAGCTTGTATGTTGCTTTAAAGTTTAAGTGCAACTCTTATTCTAGTTAATCATTTGAGAAATGAGGAACAGTTTGCAACTGGGAAATCTGTGCTCAATTAATGTATTCAATTATGGGAAAAATCTGTCATATGCTTTTCTCATCTTATGCATGATAAAATTTTCAGCATTGCTTATTAATCTCTGGTTCTCACATTTAGCTTTATAGCACTGCTCTGTTATTAATTTCTTCATCTTGGAATGTAATTCTATATGGTTCTGAGTGTAGTCATCACTGTTCTCGCCAGAATCAAAGATTAGTGGTGTGCATGCATGCATTTCCCTGTGTTTTACTTTCACCTTATAAGATCTAAAGCAGATCCTAAACCAATGGTGGCACATTAACTTGCTTATCAGTACAGTTTCTTTTGTATATGGAAGTCTTCTTGTGATTTACTTATTCTAAATTGAGTCATTATACCTGATAATAAATTCATTCCTATCTTGATCCATTTCTGTCTGACATTCTAAATAGTGAATGATTGTTTGGAGTTGGTAACTATTGAACACAAATTTATTTGCAGAGGTGGACAGAACATAATTCACCTTCCATTCAGGATGCAAAAGATGACATGCATCTGTTTTGTATATGGAAGTCTTCTTGTGATTTACTTATTCTAAATTGAGTCATTATACCTGATAATAAATTCATTCCTATCTTGATCCATTTCTGTCTGACATTCTAAATAGTGAATGATTGTTTGGAGTTGGTAACTATTGAACACAAATTTATTTGCAGAGGTGGACAAAACATAATTCATCTTCCATTCAGGATACAAAAGATGACATGTGTCACTTGAGCCTGGTGCTGCTTCTGAAATGCTTGAAAATTATGGAAAATGCTACATTTTTGAGTAACGATAATCAGGTGCAATCAAACTAGATTTTGTTCTGTTATTCTTCTCCTGTTTATTCTTCCTCTACTTATTTATTGGGATTTAAAATGCCATTTGAAGCTGAGTTATTGGATTTTAATGTTCATTATTTTCTTCTTTAATACAGACTCATCTGCTTGGAATGAGGGGGAACTCAGATTCTCATGGGCATCGGCTATCTTTTAGTAAAATCATAATAAGCATCATAAAAATTCTATCCAGTAACATTGCTTTCTTGCTCTGTCTATTTCCGGTTCTTAACTAGATTTCTTTTGTCTGGCATGTTTTCTGATGATTGATGGCATTGTTTTTTAGGTCTTTATCTACTTAAGGGTTCTCCCGCTGCTTCCATTGATGGAAACCATTGTAGTCTTTCTGAAAGGAGTGATAATGTTTCTGATTTGGCCTTGATTGATGACGACAGAGGTGTGTGGTAGCCTAATATCACTGTAGTGTTTCTGTTTGGCAGCTGCTCCTCTTTCTCTATCTCTCTTACTAATGATGCATCTTTAATTGTATTAGCAATAGACAGCAATGGGGTTATTTGTATCAGTTCTTCTACAGATTGCTGCAATGAAGAGAGGACCTCCTCTGGGAAACGCTTAAATGCATCTCAGAATTCCATTGCTCAGTTGAGTCTTTCTGCATCCAGTTCTGAAACTGCCACGCGATTTATGAAAAATACTTGTCAACTGAAGATGAGAGTCCCTTCCATGCCCAGTTCATGTAGTGAGACATTAAGGAGTTATGATAGTAATAGGTTGAGGACCAAATTTGGTCTTGTTGAAAAAACTAATTGTACAAAAGACGCCTGCAGTGACTTGTTAGATGATAGCCAAGATCCTTATGCATTTGATGAAGATGATTTTCAGCCCTCAAAGTGGGACTTGCTATCTGGGAAACGAAAAATCTCTCGAACTCGTAATGGTAGGGTAACCCCCAGAGAAGTTGAAAATGGGTGTCAATATAAGCTAACGAGTCAGGAAGAATCAAGTAATGGTGGAAATGGCCTACACAAATCAAGTAACAGGGAACATCATCATTCACAGAAAAGCTCTTATTGCAATGTTCCTGATGAAGAACATTCCAACCTTTTGGCAGACTGTCTTCTCACTGCTATCAAGGTATTCCTCTGAACCATGTTGAGGAATTTCTTCCATGTTCCATTCCTTCTTTTCTTCTGTCAAAGTAAGAGAAGGTTGCTGCATATGCCCTTTTTTTGCCTTTTTAGTCAGAATCTTTTCTTGGCAGGTTCTAATGAATTTAACAAATGACAATCCTATTGGCTGTCAACAAATTGCTGCTTGTGGAGGACTGGAGACTATGTCTTCATTGATTGCTGGCCACTTCCCTTTGTTCAGTTCATCTATATCTTTCTTTGGTGAGATGCAAGAGGACAGTTCAAGCATTCCACTCGAAAATCAGAATGATATTCATCTTACTGATCAAGAGTTGGATTTGCTTGTTGCTATATTGGGCCTACTTGTGAACTTGGTAGAAAAGGATGGGGATAACAGGTCAGTTTTACTTGCCCTATAATCACTGCTCTAATGCATATATTGTTTACTTGCAATTGGTGGATGGCACACAGTGACATGCTTCTTTGTTCTTTATTGCTTTTATGAATTAACCTATTGAAACTTGATTTATTATCCTTGCTGTGTTGCTTTAGAGCTGCTGAAGCTTTCCTTCATGTTAACTATTATCTTTGCAAGTATGATACGAGTAGATTTATACATCCTAGGAATTTCTGAAAATTTGATTTTAGATGGCTACTGCACGTATTGGATTGAACTTGTATTGGCGTTGCTTTCTGACCATCCTTTGGAAGTGTCACTTGTGCTTGTATTTAAGCAACAATTCCTCAAACCAGCTTTCTCCTTGTATTACCTAAATTCCTTGTGCTATTGACTGAGTACATTCAAATTTCTGTGAAATTTCCAATTCTTTATTTTTCATGTTAGATGAGAAGATCGTATTTTGAACACTCCAATAATCTCTATTCAGATTTGCATTTGATGAATTTTAGCAATTGCCCTCCATTTTATGGACTGGCTTAACCCCACTTGGATACCTTTTTGATGATTAGATCTCTCAATTAAGTAGCAGTCTGCTCATTAGGGTTTCCTTCTTTTGATCGTATTGGAGGCATATGGTTCATGTTTCTTTATATATTCATAATTTTCTGGTGGAAAAAGTAATTGTGATGTTTGTTGCCTACCAAAATTTATGGTTAAAGTCGATTGCAGATCAAGGCTTGCTGCAACAAGTATTTTGCTGTCAAGCTCAGAAGGGTCAGAAGATGAGAGTCGCAAGGATGTAATTCCACTACTGTGCTCCATCTTTCTAGCCAACCAAGGTGCAGGTGATGCAGCTGGAGAAGGAAACATCGTGTCTTGGGTGAGCAACCTGCTTAATTTCTAGGAATTTTATTAAATGCAATTTGTTTACACGTGTATGTGGAGATGCATGCAAATAATAGAGTAACATTGAATGTTTATTCTTGTTCATTTTCCTAATACTGTAAGAATAAATTGAATTGTAATTTATGTTTCCAAAATTTTTATGTTATTGGGAATTGTACAGAATGACGAGGCAGCTGTATTACAAGGAGAGAAGGAAGCAGAGAAGATGATTGTTGAAGCTTATTCAGCACTGCTACTTGCATTCCTATCAACTGAAAGGTTTGCTGTGCTCCATCCTTTTGTTCTTGCACATTCTTTTTGGCCCGATGTTTCTCAAATTGTCCTTGTTCAATGACAGCAAGAGCATACATGATTCCATTGCTGATTGCCTCCCGAATCACAACCTGGCTATCCTTGTTCCTGTGTTGGAGAGATTTGTGGTATGTTTTGTTCTTTTCTTTTTTGTCCTAGGGTACATCAAGGCATGAGATTAGTTGCAACTTTGAAATCCATGTCCTCCCTGCATCAACATTCTTTGCTTCTTTTTTTTGAAAAGAAGCATCGCATTTTATAAAAAATGGATCAGGGAGCATTTTGGTAAAATAGTCACTACGTTCCTTGCATTGTAGCTAGCTAGCACGCTGTGACATGTACATGCAAGAGTGAAAACAAAGTAGGCTATTATTTCTCTCTAATAAATTATACATTTTGCTTTCTCCAGGCATTTCACTTGACATTAAACATGATATCACCAGAGACTCATAAAGCTGTGAGCGAAGTGATCGAATCATGTAGAATTCGATGAAATACTTGCTTTTCTGGTTAGTCATGTAAATGTGAGCAATGTGATTGAATCATGTAGAGCATGATGGAAAGTACCAGAAATGCAAAGCTTTGTACAGCCTTTTTTTCTTTCATGTCAAGTCTTTTTTGTACACAGATGGTTTTAGCTTGTCGTAGCACACCAGGGAACTGACTGCAAGCCTGCCTTGGACTGATTTACCTTTTCCAGACTTCCCCACTTTCTTTTCTTTCCTTTTACCCATATTCCATATCATTCTTTTTGTATGACCTAGGCCGAGACGCGAGACGCTTTGTATACAGTAATGAAAGCAGAATCAAATTGTATTGCTTTGTGCATGACATCTATCTGTATGCTCTCTTCAAGGTTTTTATTATGTATTGCAATCGGATGTTTCCCGAGGCGACACTAGCAACACTAGCAGGGGAAAATGTTTTGGGGGATCGCTAAACTATACCACCGTTGAGGGATAAAAGAGTGTCATGAACATATCTCATCACATGATCATTATCAGAGTTTATTATACAAAGGGAGTGATGCTAGCCATGATTCCATATGTAGTGTAGCTATTTTAGATGAAGTGAGGTTCGGTAGATATCCCACAAGGCATCTTTTGAAGAAATATTCCCAATACTCCCTTCCAGATCTTTGTTATCAAATCCTAGGTTTGCTCGATTGCACCTCCGACAATGATACAAAAGGCAGCTTCCCCAAGGCTCTTGTCACGGCAGACAAGTTCCTGATCATGAAGCATCAGCTTATGTTAATAGGAAAGCTTAATTTGCCAAAATTGAAATACAATAGAAGCAGATTTAATTGTGGGTCTAACATTAAAGGGCCTCGTGATGGATTGATATGACGAGATGTTAGCCTGGTTTTACTAACACAACAATCTAAAACGGAAGGGTGATGTTTACAGTGCCATTTATGTAGCTATAGCCTTGTTGGTATGTGAATTATAACAGTGCCATTTATGGATGGTTGTCTCGGTTGGTCTTTGCTCCGCCCTCATGTATGGCTGTCTCGGTTCTTTTAAAACATGTATAGCTGTGAAGAAAAACAAAATGCAGTTTCTGTGAAGAAAACACTCTAATATTATATATTAAATTTATTTTTTTAAAAAAACTGATGAATGGAATGCATGTACTTGTGTTAAAGAATAATAATAATAAAAAAAAGGAATCCCATTTTGAATTCTTACAAACATGCAAGGAAATCCATGGCTCAAGGGTATGTGGGTTTTGTTTTTTTTTTTTGTTTTGTGATGTTTAAGGATTGAATTTGGAATTATTTCGTGTTTTTGAATTTTTTAAATGGTCTTGGGGATTCTGTGAGTTCTTGAATTTAGAAAAACAGGCGGATTTGAATTTAGAAAGATTCAATTGATGGTTATTGCTTTAGAAATTGTCGGGACCTTTTGAGTTCTTGAAAGGCTGGGTTTGAATTTAGAAAGACTGAATTGAGGGTTATTGCGTTAGAAATTGTTGGGATTGTTTTGGAAGGTATTTGATGGGGAGAGGTTATTGACATTTCAAAGAGTTGTTTTCGGTTGATGGGTTCTCGAGTCTTCGTTTGGAATTTTTCTAGTGTAGTTTAAAGGGTATCGTGAGTTCTTGATTTATTTTTTTGTTTCTTTTACATGGGTTTTTTTGTAGAATTTCTTGTTGCGTTTTGAAATTCCTGATCTTCTTATGGCTTCTTGGAGAGTGCTCTGTTTGATTTTGAGTGTTGTTGTTGGACTGTTTGAAGTTCTTGAAATTAAAGAGATGGGTTGTTTCGTGGGTGATCTTGCTTTGGTTTTGGAATTTGGTACTTTGTTTTACTATGCGTTTGGAATTTATGTCATTTGTTGGTTTTTTTAATGGTTTATGGGTTTTCTGTTTAAGCTTTGAAGTACCTAATCAAGGAATGAGCGGAATATTTTAAAATTAAATTTAATATGGGAGTTCAGTATGAATATCCAAAAGTAGGAAGATCTCTGAGAAGTGAAAGTTATGAATTCTACTTATTACTTCCCATACCATTTGGTGAATGAAATACAGCATGTTGGGTTCTCCTGTTAGATGTTTTGGTTTATGCACACAAAATCACTCCTTTGCTGGTCCGCTATCATGTATTTACTATTCTCATTTTACCGGCCTCAAGTTTCATGTATTATTTCTGGTTCATGTTAAAATTCTAAAGTTTTGTGGTTTCAGGATGGCCAAGACAATAATTGATGCTATTCTGGGCCTCAGCTTTGATGACTCAACAAGCAATCTGGCTGCTGCTGCACTCTTCTATGTTTTGACGAGTGATGTAAGTTCTTTTATGTTTTATACCTATTCTTTCTGTGCTCTCTTGTGCATGTACATGTTTTGTTGAAAACCTCAAAACGAACCTCTGAAATCTATACAAAGGCAATTGGGAATTCAGCATTACCTCCCTCTGAATTCTTAGATACAGTTGTGTTGTCTTTAGTTGTCTGGGCATGGATAAAAGGCAATGACTGACATCAGTTATTTTGAGAGACATAATAATAGCAAGTAGAATCTGTAACTTTACTCATAATTAAGTTCACATGGAGTTCTATGTTTGTACAAGCACAGCTCTTCAGTTTCAGTTTTCAAACATTCTAATGCTCTCAAATCACATGCTGCTGCTTGTAGTTGGTTATTTCTTGTTTGTTTATTTGATTCTCAAGGCTGGAACTCATTTTCTCCATGTATATTGTCACCCATCAGAATAGCTTTGACAGCTTTAATTTCACTGTTTCAGGGTCAAGATGAACACATTTTAGAGTCTCCAACTTGCATCCGTTTTCTTATTAAATTGTTAAAACCCATCATTTCTACTGCCACTGAAGATAAGACTCGAAATATAGGCAGTAAGCTTTTAGCATTACGCAAGGATTCTGACATCTTACGAGATACAAGTAAACTGGCAGATTCTAGCTCTACTGCCATTGCTGCCAAAGTTCAGGAAATTCTTGTTAATTGCAAGGACATGAAGTCACATTCCAGTGATGATAGTAGAACAGAGAGGCCAGAATTGACTCCCAAATGGATTGCATTGTTGACCATGGAGAAAGCTTGTTTATCTAAGATATCTTTTGAAGGTATGCTTGATATCTATCTTCCAATTCTGTTGAAATGAAGTGTTAGTTTTTCATTTCTGTTGCATACTTTCCATAGGCAGCCTGCCATTTATTAGTTTCCTTATGGTTTATTTTTGTCAAAGGATGAATAGTGGTTTTGTTGATCGGAACTATGAATAGATTCCTGGATACCATTTATTATAAAGTTGATATTGTTGATGCAAATGCTTTTACACTAGCTTTTCAGTACTTCTGCTTCTTTCTTCTGACTTATCTTCTTGAAATAGATCTAAAATACACCATTATGTAATGAACAACATGTCTTAATAATTTCTTTGGCATTTTTATTTGCAAGTTTCAGTGGTGTCTATTTTTGTTTGAATACATGCTGGTGTAGTTTTGTTTTTAGATATTTATTAATTAATAGAGTTAAAAATGATCTAGGCACAAACGAGTTTTACATATTGCTGTTTCTTTGACTTAATTATTCTATATGGACATTTTCTATTGAAATTTATGATTTTTTTATTTTTATCATGGAACAAGAAGAATGCAGGCCATTGTTCATGCAACGTGCTATCAAGAATTGCATGGATTTGGGATGCTATTTTTCAAATTCTTAGTGATTGTTTTGCATGATCATAACTAGAGCAAGCTAGCATTCTGTCCATTTTTTCCATAACAAAAATACCCTTGAGTGTGTTTTGTATTGAAAAATTAATTGAGGGTACAAATGTAATCTCAGATAGGTGGAAACGCCCAATTCTCTGTCTGGAGTACATGTTTCTGTTTTAAATTAATGTTGCTGAGGCTTTTGTGTTTTTATGAGCTCGTTGGCTAATCTATCAAATCTTTATCCCTTTCGTTTGAAACCTAAATTCTATTAAAATTGTATGCAGCAGCTCTTTCATATCTGGATGATAGTGTCTTGGTAAAGAAAATGGTTTTGGAAGCCCATTATCAGTGTTTGATAATCACTCATCTTGTACATAAACAGATTCCATTTTATGGAAGAAACAAGCAAGTCTTTTTAAGCAGGATTCATTATATGGCAGCATTTTGTTTGATCATTGGATAATCTTTTTATCTCAATCTCTCTCTAGAATTCATGATATAAGAAACATAATGAAAACTAAAACAGTTCAGAATCTCTAGTGGGAAACAAGCACTTGTTATTAGGGAGAGATTTGCTCCTTTGTTCTAGATAAGGAAGTGATTGGTAGGTGAAATAATTTTTTTCTTTTGACTGCAGAAATTTCTAAACCAAGGATGGAGAAGGAATAAGAAACACCCCATGAAATTACAATTCTACCCATATTTTAATTTCAATAGAAAAGGCTCTCGTAATATTTTTATCATAGAAAATGGGCACAATGCTAACTTGCTCAAACACAGACAAGTTAGCAAAACCCATAATGATATGTATATTCAGTGCCATATGTGCAAGTCTTTCTCTAGGCAATAGAACCTTGCATGCACGATCATGCATTTTTGCACACACACTCTCTCTCTCCTTTTCTGATTGCTTATTTATTTCACTGTGTGGGTTGCGTTCATTCAGATACATCTGGCATGGTAAGGAAGACAGGGGGGGGCTTTAAGGAAAAGTTACGAGAGCATGGAGGACTTGATGCTGTCTTTGAGGTCACCATGAACTGTCACTCTGTTATAGAGGTGTGAGCTTGTATGTTTGTTTCATCTTTCAGCAATTCACAAAAAATCAAGAGCTTGTATGTTGCTTTAAAGTTTAAGTGCAACTCTTATTCTAGTTAATCATTTGAGAAATGAGGAACAGTTTGCAACTGGGAAATCTGTGCTCAATTAATGTATTCAATTATGGGAAAAATCTGTCATATGCTTTTCTCATCTTATGCATGATAAAATTTTCAGCATTGCTTATTAATCTCTGGTTCTCACATTTAGCTTTATAGCACTGCTCTGTTATTAATTTCTTCATCTTGGAATGTAATTCTATATGGTTCTGAGTGTAGTCATCACTGTTCTCGCCAGAATCAAAGATTAGTGGTGTGCATGCATGCATTTCCCTGTGTTTTACTTTCACCTTATAAGATCTAAAGCAGATCCTAAACCAATGGTGGCACATTAACTTGCTTATCAGTACAGTTTCTTTTGTATATGGAAGTCTTCTTGTGATTTACTTATTCTAAATTGAGTCATTATACCTGATAATAAATTCATTCCTATCTTGATCCATTTCTGTCTGACATTCTAAATAGTGAATGATTGTTTGGAGTTGGTAACTATTGAACACAAATTTATTTGCAGAGGTGGACAGAACATAATTCACCTTCCATTCAGGATGCAAAAGATGACATGCATCTGTTTTGTATATGGAAGTCTTCTTGTGATTTACTTAATCTAAATTGAGTCATTATCCCTGATAATAAATTCATGCCTTCTTGGTCCATTTCTGTCTTTGACATTCTAATTAGTGATTGTTTGGAGATGGTAACTATTGAACACAAATTTATTTGCAGAGGTGGACAAAACATAATTCATCTTCCATTCAGGATACAAAAGATGACATGTGTCACTTGAGCCTGGTGCTGCTTCTGAAATGCTTGAAAATTATGGAAAATGCTACATTTTTGAGTAACGATAATCAGGTGCAATCAAACTAGATTTTGTTCTGTTATTCTTCTCCTGTTTATTCTTCCTCTACTTATTTATTGGGATTTAAAATGCCATTTGAAGCTGAGTTATTGGATTTTAATGTTCATTATTTTCTTCTTTAATACAGACTCATCTGCTTGGAATGAGGGGGAACTCAGATTCTCATGGGCATCGGCTATCTTTTAGTAAAATCATAATAAGCATCATAAAAATTCTATCCAGTAACATTGCTTTCTTGCTCTGTCTATTTCCGGTTCTTAACTAGATTTCTTTTGTCTGGCATGTTTTCTGATGATTGATGGCATTGTTTTTTAGGTCTTTATCTACTTAAGGATTCTCCCGCTGCTTCCATTGATGGAAACCATTGTAGTCTTTCTGAAAGGAGTGATAATGTTTCTGATTTGGCCTTGATTGATGACGACAGAGGTGTGTGGTAGCCTAATATCACTGTAGTGTTTCTGTTTGGCAGCTGCTCCTCTTTCTCTATCTCTCTTACTAATGATGCATCTTTAATTGTATTAGCAATAGACAGCAATGGGGTTATTTGTATCAGTTCTTCTACAGATTGCTGCAATGAAGAGAGGACCTCCTCTGGGAAACGCTTAAATGCATCTCAGAATTCCATTGCTCAGTTGAGTCTTTCTGCATCCAGTTCTGAAACTGCCACGCGATTTATGAAAAATACTTGTCAACTGAAGATGAGAGTCCCTTCCATGCCCAGTTCATGTAGTGAGACATTAAGGAGTTATGATAGTAATAGGTTGAGGACCAAATTTGGTCTTGTTGAAAAAACTAATTGTACAAAAGACGCCTGCAGTGACTTGTTAGATGATAGCCAAGATCCTTATGCATTTGATGAAGATGATTTTCAGCCCTCAAAGTGGGACTTGCTATCTGGGAAACGAAAAATCTCTCGAACTCGTAATGGTAGGGTAACCCCCAGAGAAGTTGAAAATGGGTGTCAATATAAGCTAACGAGTCAGGAAGAATCAAGTAATGGTGGAAATGGCCTACACAAATCAAGTAACAGGGAACATCATCATTCACAGAAAAGCTCTTATTGCAATGTTCCTGATGAAGAACATTCCAACCTTTTGGCAGACTGTCTTCTCACTGCTATCAAGGTATTCCTCTGAACCATGTTGAGGAATTTCTTCCATGTTCCATTCCTTCTTTTCTTCTGTCAAAGTAAGAGAAGGTTGCTGCATATGCCCTTTTTTTGCCTTTTTAGTCAGAATCTTTTCTTGGCAGGTTCTAATGAATTTAACAAATGACAATCCTATTGGCTGTCAACAAATTGCTGCTTGTGGAGGACTGGAGACTATGTCTTCATTGATTGCTGGCCACTTCCCTTTGTTCAGTTCATCTATATCTTTCTTTGGTGAGATGCAAGAGGACAGTTCAAGCATTCCACTCGAAAATCAGAATGATATTCATCTTACTGATCAAGAGTTGGATTTGCTTGTTGCTATATTGGGCCTACTTGTGAACTTGGTAGAAAAGGATGGGGATAACAGGTCAGTTTTACTTGCCCTATAATCACTGCTCTAATGCATATATTGTTTACTTGCAATTGGTGGATGGCACACAGTGACATGCTTCTTTGTTCTTTATTGCTTTTATGAATTAACCTATTGAAACTTGATTTATTATCCTTGCTGTGTTGCTTTAGAGCTGCTGAAGCTTTCCTTCATGTTAACTATTATCTTTGCAAGTATGATACGAGTAGATTTATACATCCTAGGAATTTCTGAAAATTTGATTTTAGATGGCTACTGCACGTATTGGATTGAACTTGTATTGGCGTTGCTTTCTGACCATCCTTTGGAAGTGTCACTTGTGCTTGTATTTAAGCAACAATTCCTCAAACCAGCTTTCTCCTTGTATTACCTAAATTCCTTGTGCTATTGACTGAGTACATTCAAATTTCTGTGAAATTTCCAATTCTTTATTTTTCATGTTAGATGAGAAGATCGTATTTTGAACACTCCAATAATCTCTATTCAGATTTGCATTTGATGAATTTTAGCAATTGCCCTCCATTTTATGGACTGGCTTAACCCCACTTGGATACCTTTTTGATGATTAGATCTCTCAATTAAGTAGCAGTCTGCTCATTAGGGTTTCCTTCTTTTGATCGTATTGGAGGCATATGGTTCATGTTTCTTTATATATTCATAATTTTCTGGTGGAAAAAGTAATTGTGATGTTTGTTGCCTACCAAAATTTATGGTTAAAGTCGATTGCAGATCAAGGCTTGCTGCAACAAGTATTTTGCTGTCAAGCTCAGAAGGGTCAGAAGATGAGAGTCGCAAGGATGTAATTCCACTACTGTGCTCCATCTTTCTAGCCAACCAAGGTGCAGGTGATGCAGCTGGAGAAGGAAACATCGTGTCTTGGGTGAGCAACCTGCTTAATTTCTAGGAATTTTATTAAATGCAATTTGTTTACACGTGTATGTGGAGATGCATGCAAATAATAGAGTAACATTGAATGTTTATTCTTGTTCATTTTCCTAATACTGTAAGAATAAATTGAATTGTAATTTATGTTTCCAAAATTTTTATGTTATTGGGAATTGTACAGAATGATGAGGCAGCTGTATTACAAGGAGAGAAGGAAGCAGAGAAGATGATTGTTGAAGCTTATTCAGCACTGCTACTTGCATTCCTATCAACTGAAAGGTTTGCTGTGCTCCATCCTTTTGTTCTTGCACATTCTTTTTGGCCCGATGTTTCTCAAATTGTCCTTGTTCAATGACAGCAAGAGCATACATGATTCCATTGCTGATTGCCTCCCGAATCACAACCTGGCTATCCTTGTTCCTGTGTTGGAGAGATTTGTGGTATGTTTTGTTCTTTTGTTTTTTGTCCTAGGGTACATCAAGGCATGAGATTAGTTGCAACTTTGAAATCCATGTCCTCCCTGCATCAACATTCTTTGCTTCTTTTTTTTGAAAAGAAGCATCGCATTTTATAAAAAATGGATCAGGGAGCATTTTGGTAAAATAGTCACTACGTTCCTTGCATTGTAGCTAGCTAGCACGCTGTGACATGTACATGCAAGAGTGAAAACAAAGTAGGCTATTATTTCTCTCTAATAAATTATACATTTTGCTTTCTCCAGGCATTTCACTTGACATTAAACATGATATCACCAGAGACTCATAAAGCTGTGAGCGAAGTGATTGAATCATGTAGAATCCGATGAAATACTTGCTTTTCTGGTTACTCATTTAGATGTGAGCAATGTGATTGAATCATGTAGAGCATGATGGAAAGTACCAGAAATGCAAAGCTTTGTACAGCCTTTTTTTCTTTCATGTCAAGTCTTTTTTGTACACAGATGGTTTTAGCTTGTCGTAGCACACCAGGGAACTGACTGCAAGCCTGCCTTGGACTGATTTACCTTTTCCAGACTTCCCCACTTTCTTTTCTTTCCTTTTACCCATATTCCATATCATTCTTTTTGTATGACCTAGGCCGAGACGCGAGACGCTTTGTATACAGTAATGAAAGCAGAATCAAATTGTATTTCTTTGTGCATGACATCTATCTGTATGCTCTCATCAAGGTTTTTATTATGTATTGCAATCGGATGTTTCCCGAGGCGACACTAGCAACACTAGCAGGGGAAAATGTTTTGGGGGATCGCTAAACTATACCACCGTTGAGGGATAAAAGAGTGTCATGAACATATCTCATCACATGATCATTATCAGAGTTTATTATACAAAGGGAGTGATGCTAGCCATGATTCCATATGTAGTGTAGCTATTTTAGATGAAGTGAGGTTCGGTAGATATCCCACAAGGCATCTTTTGAAGAAATATTCCCAATACTCCCTTCCAGATCTTTGTTATCAAATCCTAGGTTTGCTCGATTGCACCTCCGACAATGATACAAAAGGCAGCTTCCCCAAGGCTCTTGTCACGGCAGACAAGTTCCTGATCATGAAGCATCAGCTTATGTTAATAGGAAAGCTTAATTTGCCAAAATTGAAATACAATAGAAGCAGATTTAATTGTGGGTCTAACATTAAAGGGCCTCGTGATGGATTGATATGACGAGATGTTAGCCTGGTTTTACTAACACAACAATCTAAAACGGAAGGGTGATGTTTACAGTGCCATTTATGTAGCTATAGCCTTGTTGGTATGTGAATTATAACAGTGCCATTTATGGATGGTTGTCTCGGTTGGTCTTTGCTCCGCCCTCATGTATGGCTGTCTCGGTTGTTTTAAAACATGTATAGCTGTGAAGAAAAACACACTGCAATTTCTGTGAAGAAAACACTCTAATATTATATATTAGAGTAAATTTATTTTTTAGAAAAACTGATGAATGGAATGCATGCGCTCGTGTTAAAGAATAAAAAAAAAAGAATCCCATTTTGAATTCTTACAAACATGCAAGGAAATCAATGAAAGTCACAAACACAGATTCACAAAAGAACATTGCTTATTGACATGGATGATTCACAAAGTCACAAACACAGATTCACAAAAAAGTCACAAACACAGATTCACAAAAGAACATTGCTTATTGACATGGACGATTCGCAAAATGTGAATACTTGCTAGGAAATACAAGAGATGAACTGGGAGGTATTTATTGGGATACAAGGTTGCTGTTTCACGAGATTTTGATAACATCTTTTGATGAACCCACTTCGGCAATAATCATAAGCAAATGGGACCCCAGGCAGAGTCATCTGGGCAGCTTCAAGCCCGAACCCTTGAGCTTCCGCTCCATTATGTCATCTAGACGCGCTCCCATTTCAGGTGTCAAGGGAGTTGACCAGTCGCCTATCTCACCTTTCCTGAAGTATAAACTATTTTGAATAGCAATTGATGTGTCTGGACGGTGCTTCCCATTTTTATTCACCTCCAGGTGGCTCAACTTATCAAAACTGCACAAGCTTATTATCTTCTGCACCTCCCCTTCGTCCTCTTCCTCTAAGGTGAAGGAACAACCCATAAACTCATGAGCTAATTTCTTAACATGAGCAGCGGTATCTTTCTTCATTTCCTCGTATGTCAAGAACAATATCTTCACAGAGAACTCGAATCTTGCTCTCCAATACCTTAGAACATGGTCCCAGTACGGTCCCAAGATTGAAATTCCATTGCAAAACATCTCAAAGGCCTTTTCCAGAGGAAGAGGTTCAACATTTTTCGACTTTTGACGCGCGGAAAAAAAACACCACGAAGAAACAAAAGCATCCTTTGCGTCCCTGCAAATGTAAATAATCTTGCAACTAGAAGAAATGATAGATTTAGGTAAACAACTGTAAGGAACATGAGTAGAAACCAGAGGAATTGCAAAGTCCCGATTACTTGGGTCTTGAGCAAGGTCATATTCCAAATATGGAACACAGTCATGTGGCATCTTGGTACGTAAAGGACTAGTTGTTGAACCACTTAAACGGAATCGTGTAAAAGTAGCAAAAGTGAGGGCCTTAAGCCAAGTTGTGCCAGTTTTTGGAGACCTGGCGACAAATATATCAGAGGATTTAGGATTGAACTGCTAATGAACAGAAATGAGCCCTTCCAAGAAGAAGGAAGAGTACCAAAAGCCTTGGTACTGGTAATAATCATCCCCCCTCAAGCCTTTAACTTTTGGAAGGTGGACATCACTTCACTGTAACTTTTGGCTTCTTTTTTCCTCGCTGCACTTTCACCAGAATCCAAGATTTGGGTGGAAGGCAAAGAGGATTCCATGAAAGTAAAAAAAGAAATATAATGTGAAGGAAAGGCCATGGCAGCTATTTGTAGCGAGTTGAGAGCTGGTTTAATTTTTAGCACCAAGGTAAAGACAGTATGGGTTCGACATACATATCGAACCCCATATGTTTAGATATGATAACCAAATAAGTTTAAGATAATAATGTTCAAGAAAGTAACTAATTTTTCTTGAATCTAATTTTAGAAAAGAACTTGATTTCTATAAACACAACTAAATTTAATATCTTAAACTTTAATTTTTTTATATTTTTTAAAGTATATAAAAATTCTTGAAGGACCCATTATATAGACAAGAATTTTTTTATTTTTATTAATGCCATCAAGATAATTATACTATAAACCTTTGTTTTTTCAAAAGAATATAACTTATGAGTTATAAATATATTATAAGATCTCAAAAACAAAGGTTTATAATCTTTAATTTTTTACTGCATTTATTTTCTCAGAGTATTTTTTTATAAAATATACATTTAATTTTTCTTTAAAAAAATTTATTTAAACATTGAATCGTCTTTATATCCATGAAAAAAAATGCTTTTGAAAATACTAACCATAGGCAGCTTTAACCTATCAAAGATATTCAGTATAAACTATTAACTATTATTATTGCTAATCAGAATATCATCAACCAGTGAAAAATATTTATTTCGACCCTAGTAGCATTTTTTTATCCCCCGTCATATAATAGCTCCGAGTCCTCCAGTCTCGATCTTTTGAGGAATATTTACAGCCCCCAGCTCCACAACTCTGTCCCCGAAATTAGCTATATCGACCAATTGATCTATGACATTTCTCACTTGATGAGATTTTACATAATAGATAGTGGCTCGCTGTGGAACATCACGATGCATTTGACAACAGAGGTGGATCTCATATATATATCTGAAATTGAAAATGCATTTAGCATTGATGCGGTCTTGCGTTTTCTATGTTTTTTTTATATTTTTTAAATATTTTAATGTGTCGATATTAAAAATTAATGTTAAAAAATTTTAAAAATTATATTATTTCAATATATTTTTAGATAAAAACATTTTAAATTATAATTATTATTATACTCCCAAGCAGCTACTAAATAAAATATAAAGGAACACATAGAAAAAAAAACTCAATTTAGAGAACAAGAAACTCTTGAAGGAGAAAAGGAGAGATGCAAAGAACATTAACCAAAGATTTCCTTTGTTTTTGGAAAGTTGAAAAAAAATATATCAGTGGATTGAGCCTTGAAGTGTGGCACAAAATATATCAGTGAATTGAGGCTTGAAGTGTTCTTGAACTCACATGAGTCTTCCCAAGAAGGACGGAAACGTCCCAAAAACCTTTAACATCTTATAAAGTTTGAAATTCTATTCTGTATATTTATTCATGCTTTACAACTAATATATATAATTCAAAGAAATGAAATTACGATTTAAGAATAAAGCCTAAACAATTGCTAACAGAAAAATAATTCCTAAACATAAGTTTCTAATAACTAGACAATGAGTTATATATAGAATGTGAAGATATATGTGCAGATATAGCGTTGATGTGCAGATATGACGTTGATACTCCCCTTCAAGTTAGAGCATGGAGATCTGTAACGCCCAACTTGCGTGATAATGCTTGGAAGTGGTCTCATCCTAAAGCTTTGGTGAAAATATCAACAAGCTGATTGAAGGTTGATATATGTCTGGTTGTCATAGTATAAGAGCATGGGTTTGGAATGGTAAATGTTGAGATCATGAAGAAGTGTTTTAAGTCATGTGAGTTCACAATTAGTAGAAGTAAGAGCCCGGTACTCAGCTTTAGCAGAAGAACGAGAGACGGTTTGTTGCTTCTTAGTACGCCAGGAAATAGGACTAGTGCCGAGTTAAATAAAAAAACCTGTCGTGGATCTGCGAGTGAGTGGACAACTAGCCCAGTGTGAATCAGAGTAAGCTGAGACTTGAAGATTGCTGGAAGCAGGAAAGAATAAACCTTGGTCTGGAGTGGATTTAATATAACAAAGAACACAAACAACAACATCATAATGGGGCTATCACGGCTGATGCATAAATTGGCTCAGAATATTGATTGAAAACACGATGTCAGGACAGGTGATGGTAGGTAGATGAGACGCCCAACAAGTCGTCGAAAAGAGCTTGGATCAGGAAGAAGATCACCATCAACATTGTTAAGTTTCAAATTTTGTTCCATAGGGAAAGTAGTGGGGCGAGTACCAAGATGACCACTGTCAGCAAGAATGTTAAGAGCATATTTGCGTTGATTCAAGGATATACCAATAGGAGAATGAGCACCTCAAGTCCAAGAAAATATTTTAATTTGTCAAGATCCTTAATGTGAAAGTGATGAGCAAGCATAGTCTTCAAGTTAATAATGGCAAAAAGATCATTACCTACTATAATAATGTCTTCAACATAAACCAATATGAAAGTGAAAGACTAACCCTGAGAGAGTTTGAAGAGTGGGTAATCAACCTGAGATTGGATGAAACCTAGCAAGCAGAATAAAGCATAATTTAAAGAACCAATTACGAGATGCTTGCTTGAGGCCATAGATGGATTTCTGAAGATAACAAACAAGAGTTGTTATTGGTGTGCAATAACCTAGTGAAGGAGACATATAGACTTCCTCATCAAGATTGTCATGTAAGAAGGCATTGTTAACGTCCAATTGGAAAAGGTGTCATTATCGAGTTGCAGCAACTGCAAGAATACATCTAACAGTAACAAGTTTAGCAACAGGAGCAAAAGTGTCATGATAATCCAAACCTTCTATCTGAGTATATCCCTCGGCCACTAAACGAGCTTTGTGTTGTTCTATGGATCCATCAACCCAAATTTTGGTTTT